ATACATAGATTGGTAATGTCATGTAATGAGTCTAAAACCAGCCACAAAGGGAAAATGACAATTACTGTTATACAATACTGTATATCTAAAGGTGTGAACTTCACTTGGTATAAGCTTGATGCCTGATAGGCCACTGGCCACCAATTTACTCAGTCTATAGTGTACAGTCAGATATTTCTACCTAGTACCTCTAATTTGAACTTTATCTTCACATGAGTCCTATAGGAAATAAAAATCTATTACAGAAAGGTGCTGACTCTCTAGCCTTCACCTTATTCCTCACCTCAGCAACCAGGCTTCACATTAATAATCCTCTAATTTTAAAAGAGAACATGTTATGCTTTGAAATACAACCCGATCTGAAAATATTCTTCTATCATGAAACCGCCAATGCAAATAGAAAATTATTTTACCAGAGAATTTTAAGGAGTATATCCTGTTCTGATTCTCTCCAGTAAGTTATCAGAAACACCCTTAACAATTACAACTGTGTCTTTTCTTGCATGCTTTCTGATCAGCAGTGTACGTGAAGCTGTTAAAAGTACAGGCTTTGGAGTCAGGCAGACTTCCATTCAATCTTAGCCCCTACCAACTTTGAAGCCCTTTGAAAGGCACAGAGCTTCTCTACATCAGTTACCTCACCTGTAAAGACACTGCAAAGATTAACTGAGACATCACCTGGCAATGTAAAGTCCTTAGCACCGGGTCTACTAAGAAGCAAGTACTCTACTCAATCAGGGGCAGCTGTTTTTGGTATTATTTTGTTGAGAATAGTAACAAAAATAAAGCTAAACAAAATTACAGTACAACTTACTCTCTATTTCTTGGGAAGTTGATCAGTTGTTCTAAATAGAACCATTCCCAATGAGCATATTACCTATAGTAGATTGTTTAAAAAAAAAAAAATTAATTCCCAATTGAGAATTCTCAAAGTAGAAGAGAGGTGAGTTAAACTGCTGTCAAATGAACAGCTGTTCCTCAGAGAAGCTACAAGATTTTGAAACTTTTTCCCCTTGGTCTACATGGCTTGAGGCAGCAGTCTGGAGCAGATGTTCCTTCTTTAGCTACTGTAACAAGGCTCTCATAGAGCAAAAAAAAAATGAACCTGAAGAGCTACATCTATACAAATTAGTTGTGAGATCATAGTAACACTGAGAGATTATATGCGATAGTCAGAGGTATAGTAAAAAGCTTTGAATAAAAAGCCTGCCTTTAATTGCTTAAGTTTAAATTCTAAGACAATCTTAAAGTATAAATGATTTTAGATAAAACTATTGTTACAAATAAATATGAACACTTTTTTTATTTTGGGGGAGGGGTTAGGCTTCAAGTTAGTCCTGTTTGAAACAGCTATAGCAGTTATATGTTTAATAGAAGTCGACAAATTTCAGCCATGTATGGTACGGACTCTGGAGCCAGGCAGCCTAGGTAAGCACCTTAGCTCCTTGTCAGGTGCATAATGATGCACAAGTCAGGATCTCTCTATTCCTCAGTTTCCTCATCTGAAAAATGGGAATGCTAACAGCACACATAATATATCTGGTTACTGTTGTAAGGACTATATGAGCAAAATATAGCTCCAGACACATGGTTGATACTATATGGTGTTAGCTATGTCACCCATTGATCACCTGTTACTCAACAAATTCATCTATTATAAACCATGAATTGCACTAGTGACACAAAGATCAATAAGACAGATACAGATGTTACTAGAGGAATAATGTCTGTAGAGATCAGAAGGGTCCATACAATAATTAAGCCAGGCAAGTACAAAGGGTGTGCAGCAAGCACGTGTAACAGTAAGTACAATGGCTCCATCATAGTGGGTGGGTATGGAGTAAGGGCAGTGGTCCTAATTCCCTGTAAGAGAAAAATGGATCTGCACCTTACAGTAAAACTTGTTTATTTGTGACCAGGGGTATATAACCTAAATGCCAGTGGATGAAGCAACAATGGAAACATTTTAACAGTATTTTTAAAAAAGAGAAAATAAATACTTTTGCCTACAGTATTAACACAGCTTTCCAGAACAGACTTTCAACATGTTAAAATTCCACATCTGTAGCTACAGACCTAATATTTCCATACTGACTCAAGTTAGCCTGGTTTCCAAAGTTGAATAACATGTAATTTAAGAGCAACTCAAGAGATCAGAAGACTCTGACAAAACATGACATTGATTTGTCAATAGTTTTTGCCAATATTAAAACTCTGGACCTTTAGTAGATATATATTTTGTCTAAAATCCAAGCAGTATAACCATATTTACCAAAAAAAATAAAAAATAAAAATAATAAAAATAAAGAAAAATAGAATAAAATACTTGTGTAAAAATCTCAACACCTTGACACAACCACTTCCCCTCTATCCTAAAGAAAATTTCTGTTCCAGTTTATTTATTTAGATGAAGAAGTTTTCACATTTAGCTCTAACAACTTTAATTTAGTACAGTGTATGCATGAATGTGTGTGTGACAGCAGCTACTTCTAGGACACATGGGAACTCTGAAATAGATAAAGTATAACTGACACCCTCTTTACCCAGTTTTTTGAATGTGTCTCCCATTCAAACACTTTCTTCCCCTTCCCACGACTTGGTAATGAAATGCCAAGTTATCACAGAATTTCCAAAGCCCTCTAATCCTTTTAGTTTTTAGGAAGATTTGGAATTAGATCTGAATTCAAATCCCAACTCAATCACTCATGAACAACATGGCCTTTGTTTCAAGAGGAAATCCTCCAAATGCCAGTGTTCTTATTAGTAAAATGGAACACAACACATAGAATATGGGAGGCAGCATGACAAAGCATTTCAGAGTGCAGACTCTGGAGGACGATTATGTGGACTCAAATTCTAATGCCACCATTTTATAGCAGTATGACATTGGGCTAGATATGTTTCATCTCTATGCCCTCCAGTTTCTTCATCTGCCAAAGAAGGGTATGAACAGTGAAAAGATGTAGAATTATTGCAAAGTTTGAGATAACATAGGATATGTAAGGCATTTAGAAGAATGCCTGGTTCAGAGAAAATAATATATGTAAAGTATTATTATTTCATATATCCATCTTATACTTTATGCATAATTGTATCAGAGGCCCCCAAGACCACCTATAGGTTTGAGGATTTCCTGGAAAGACTCAATAGTTCAGAAAACCCATTATACTCATTTTTATGGTTTATTTCAGCAAAAGGATACAGATTAAAATCAATTAGGAAAAAAGCGTACAGGGAAGATTCCAGGAAAAACTAGGGATAAGCTTCTAGTTGTCCGCTCCCAGTGGAGTCCCAAGCACAGTGCTTCATTATCCCCAAAACAATATGTACAGAGTATTGCGAACCAGGAAGCTCATCTGAGCCTTGCTGTCAAGGATTTTTACTGGGGGTCAGTCATAGGCATGGACTGCCTCCATGACTAATCTTAGCTATTCAATCTCTGGCTCCCCAAGAGGTCATGCTGACATAGTGTGGCCCTGAGCCCCAAGTGAACAAAAACAGGTGTTCATCATAAATCACATTGTTTACATATCTATCTAGGCTGGACCAACGCCCCAGGTACATAAAAAACACTCTTATCAGGCAGGGTATTTCTAAGGCTTAGAGGCAGATCTCTCAAGAGCTAGTCAAGAGCCAGTCCTTTCTTTGTAATATGAAGAAGAAAGGTTTGAACATCCCAAACCTGCTAAATTAACCCTTCACTGTATAACAATTTATTGAGCAACTACCATGTGCCAGGACCTATGATAAACATTTTAATATATTATCTCATTTAATACTTCAATACGCTTATGAGGAAGGAATCAGCATATTTTCCCCGTAACAAACACAGAAATTGAAGCTAAGGAAACTTAAATATTTATAACTAGTATGGAATCCAAACCTAGCTCTCTCAGACTGCAAAGCCTTTACTATTTCCACTAAGTTGTACCACTTGAGAAAACTTTATGAAATTTAAAATAATATATTGTAAAGTACATGACACAGATACATCATAATATATTTATCAACCAAATTCATTTCTGGTAGTGAAAAAATAATCTAAAGAATCAGTTTGAATTTGTGGAGGAAATATACTAGAACTATGAGCAAATGTGTATTTACTGTAGACTAGTTTTCCTTTAAAATAGTGTGCTTTTATTAAAAGGCTATCTAATCAATCATAATTAAGTAATTAAAACCAAGTCTCATAAACTCAGTAATAAATTTTCCCTAAGATTGAACCAGCTCCTTAAATTCAACCTTCTTTTTCTTTACACCTCAAAACTTTTTAATCTCCACAAACACTTGCTGAAATATAGAAATGACTTACCATCTATTAAGAATAACAATTTTTTGTTGTAGAAATGTATCACTGGTTTCCCTAGGGAGGCAACAATGCCTTTTCACTTTAATATGTGTGTGTGTTCCTCCCCTCATCTAATCAGCTAATACTTTTCAAAAGATCTTTTTAATGCCTAAATGAAAGGATTCCACATCAAAGACCTGACCTCCCTATTAAAGTATCTAAAGGAAAACCTACAAACGTAAAATCTATTCAAAGGCAAATTGCATGTAGCTTATTGTGCAATGCATTAAGAAAAGGAAAAAAAAAAAAAGCTTCATAAGAGCTATATGGAATTTGGTAAAATTATATCACAAAAAATACAAATTGATCTTAAGTATAAAGAAACAAATTCTGAGCCAAAAATTTATTATAAAATTGCTCTGTGATCAGCTAGGAGGGGAGTCTCTATGAAGAAATTCAGAATTTGTCACTTTTTCAATCAAAATTTCTGATTACAGTGTAATGTTAGAAAGGTTAAAAAGAGAACAAATCATACATTTCTCAATAGATTTAAAACCTGAAATTTCTAAAGTTAACTTTTAACATCAGGAAAAGTAGGTTTTATTATAGACAAGAATGGAATGAAGTAATGAAATATTAATAAAAGTAGAATAGATGAGACAGTATAGATAAAAAATACTTTTTAAAAAACAAATTAAGTTTTCTACCATACCATGAATGTAGTTCTGAAGTTATTCAAGTCAGTAAAGAAGTCTTCCACGGACACCTTCTTCACATCGATGGCAAAGTATCCCATTACAGTCTGGTATAACTTTTCCATGTTTTCATGTAACTTTGAAAGTTTCTCATATTGTTCTTTTGCACTGATAACAAAGCTGTATGCTATAGTTAAGGTATTATTCTAAAATGTACAAAGTAATGCTTTAAGGGGAAAAAAAACTTTTAAATCCAATGTTTTAGTCTAAATGTAAGGGAGAATTTTTCTACTCCCTTCTTAACAGTAGCATAACTGCAAACTACCAACTAAAAGAGTGACCATTAACTAGATTTCTGTCTTGTGCATAACTGCAAAACAGTAAGACTAAGTAACTATAGAATAACACGTGACTACACCAGGGTCTTGTGCAGACATTGTAACCATTTGTTTCTGTATCATATAAAAGCCACCATGCTCAGACCCCATTTTGCTCAGAATTTGGAGGCAAGAACCCTCTAAGCCTGCCGGCAATAAAAGCCTGTTTTGCAGTGGCTCTCTGTTTCCCGGTCTGGTGTGCTGTAACATAATAGCCACCATTACTACATCTCCAATTTCCAAAATTACCTCTAATAGTTAACCATTCTTAAAGTCAGTCTATACGATACAGCAATGAAATCTGAAATTTTATATCTAATAAATTTTGGTAAATTATCAGAAAATATAAATATTTATATTAACATGTTTAATATTTCTCCTTAATAGAATATAAGAAAAATTTTCTTCCAATTTACCATAATATATTTGAGGATCATGCAGTATAACTTAAAATTATAGTTCAGTGGTTACAGTTGAGTAATTTCAATGATATTGGAATCAACAGTATAGGCATGTGTATAGCAGTTAAATTGGAAAACTTGGGGTCCATTTCTAGCTCTTAAATCTGGTACTTGTGTGTTTGTAGGCAAATGCCTTCATGTCTCTGTGCCCAATTTCCTTCCTATAAAATGGGAATAGTAAAATCGCTTATTCTGCAAGGACTAAATAAATAAATACAAAGTTCTTAGAACTTTGTGAGTGGGCATTTAGTAGCATATAAATATTATTATTCTCCACTTATTTCAAATTTAAGGTCCTAAAAGCAAACAAAAATAAATTAAGAGTTACATGAAAAACTTCTCATATTATGTAAACAAATCAATGTTTTAACTTCTCTTATGAAATTTGTACGTAAATTCTCATATGCATTCCATGATTGAAAATGATTATACACACACGGGGACATGCATACAGAAATGTTCTCCTCTCACTTATTCATAACAACATAGTTCAAAACATACTGAAATTCAGAAGACTAATTTAATGTCAATGTGATAGTCACTAGCATTAGAAAACATTTTCTAAACAAACAGAATTTTTTTTGCTGTGTGACAAATTGCTGATGCAGTTATAGATATAAAGATATAAAATCACCGAACCATATCCTGAAAAGTTGACTCTTTTAGACTATTAGTCATAACTGCCTATGGTTCTTTTAAACTGGGACATGTAAAGAAAAGGAACATACACAGCTAAACTTCCAGAACTCATTTTATTATATTTGACTAATGCAAAAGTATAAACAGAAATTAGCAAAATTTAAAGCAAAACAAAAAACTAGATTCAGGCCAAGAAAAAGAAACCAAAAATAGAATGTTTGTATGTAAAAAAAAAAAAAAGTATCCCACAATTTCAAAAAAATAGAGTTCTTCTGGTCACAGGATAAAATAAGGAAAATAGTAAAGGAAAAGACAATGAAAGATCAAGAAAAAAGAGACAGCATTGCTGCCAGGCAGGGAGGAAATCAAGTTTTCCCAGAATCGAGTTCAATATTTGTGAAGAGATAAGAGAAATATGTGAGACACCCAACAAAATAATTGATAAAATTCATTACAAAAACATTGATATACTTCTAATTATTTGATGTTTTGAGAAATCTATTTTCTTTTCCTTTACCAAGACTAAAGCCAAATTCTCATGAATTTCCACTTGAATCACTATAATCTTCCCATTTGAAAGGTATATGACAACTAGATGTGTTCACATGTATTGAGCCACAAGTATTTTGACTTAACCAACTAAGGAGCACAACTAAAACTTAGAATTTTTCTACTACCTGCAAGTATTACCTATTAATCAAACCACCTACCACGAATATAGTCCAAATTTATTCTTAGGTCATACCATCATTAGTATACTTAGGCCACCAAGGATGCCCATTACTTCCATAAACAAACTTTGCAAGGATCAGGTTTAATTAGTTACATGTGTTTAATGCCTTTAACAGAACTTCTTAAATACCCAGGATCCAGCTGGCCATTTAATAAGTATTCATTCAGTTCTACTGTATTACAGACACTCCTTTGGGCACTAGGGAAAATAGTAGTTAACAAGATTAGCAAAGTCCCTCTTGTCACCAAACATACATTCTGGAGGTGTGGAGACAGATAAGAAAATGAATGAGATTTTCACACAGTGATAGGCATGACAAAGAAAATAAAAATTTTTGATGTTATATAGAGTGACAGAGGCTAATTTAGGTTGGGTCCTGGAAGGGAAAGTCCTGGCTAAGAAGGTGAGATTGACTAAAACAACTGAGGCATGACTGTAAAAGAACAGTGAGCACTAACAGGTACAGCACTCTCTTGTAAGTTAATAAGACTTCAGAAAAACAAAACATCATTATAAATTTGAGGATTGATAAAGGATGCAGTGCAAGATATTTAACTGAGTCTTAAAAGTTTGTTGAGAATGGGTTAAGAGGAAGAAAGGTAAGAAAGGGAAAAAAAGAACAAAAGAGGAAAAGGAGGAGAGAGTAAGAATAATTCAAGGGAAGAAAAATCTGCTACAATAAATCACCCGGTTACCCAATTTCCCACTCATATAACTGGGCCATTGCACAAGTTTACATTTCACCTGTTCAGATCTATTTTACTTCCTAGGCACAGTTCCATTAAAAAAATATATTAAATTCCTTTACCTGCAAAATGCTATATGTTATGTGGTATAGAATATAGATGTAAGTAAGTCTTTTTCTCAATGACTTTACTGGGACAGTTTTAGCATCTACCCAGTGATTTCAGAAGTGTCTAAAGCATTGCTATATACTGAAACAACAAAAAAGACAGTGTGAAAATAAAGTGGGATTTCGATGAAGAAACTTAAAGAATATAACATGGGAAAGAGTCAAATAACTTGTCACATATGTTGTCATAAATACTAAAATATGTAAATGTCTACCAAATGATTTTTTTCTGAAAGACTCAGAGAAGGGATAGGAAAAAAGAAAGTAGAAAGGCAAGTGCTTGTGTAAGGAGAATTTCAAGGACAATGCTCCAATATCTACTTGTTATTTTCCTTAAAATAAGAAATATTACAGAGTTTAAATGTCAAAAGGAACAAGCACTATATGACACAAATCCTGCCATTTTCTTAAATTTCTCACAGATTAACAATTTAATGAGCGTGTACATCTCACATAGTTTGCAGATAGTAATTCTGATGACTCTGCCTCCAATTTATGTTTCATATTTTTCAAGCAAATATTTACTGTGAAACTATTCAACTCTAATTAGAGTTCTGACCAGATTTAGCATTGGAAAATAACAATTATTACTAAAAAGTCAATGATACGTGAAATAATTATGCATATATTTTAAAGGATGTACTAAATTCATATTTTTATTATATATTAAGCAGTACATACAAAGAAAGACCATGCACTGAAAGAATAAAAACATACTATAATTGAGCGCTACTAGTGACATTTCATATTAGAATGAAATTATATCTTTATAATTTAAAGCAATTCAATTAACAGTTTATATTTAAGAGTTCACTAAAACAAGATTGTTTAAACTAAGTATGTACTTGTAAAGATGGATGCTTAACAACTTAAATATACATATTCTTTCAGAATTGGTTGATGAACCAATCATTTGATATGTGCTTCAACTAATAAGCATTTAAACTTAAAACAAAGTTTGAGTGTTAATAACAAACTTTCATTAAATACATTTTACTCATTGAGCATTTTAGCTTCAAAATTCTTCAATTTCCTAAGATGTAAGAAGCTCACAATTTTCCATTTTAATAAGATCTGTATAAATGCATTTAATATTCAAAATCTGACTTGTTGTCAGTCCTAATTAAAGTAAACAAAGCCTTGCAATGAATGAATTTAATTACTCCGAAACTAGTATGTCTAACTAAGATGAAAAGCAAACGAGTGCAATCTAATCTCGGCAAAGAATATTTATGATTATAAGCTTTGTCAATAGCAAAGTGCACCAACTGTTCATATATCTGACTTCCAAGAGATACATGAATGCTAATCAGTTCATTAGAGGCTTCTAGGTTGTGATATTTAGCGACAGGATGTAGTAGCTTTCTTGTCCATGGAGTATAATTGTACTCAGAATGAAAAATTGTTTCCAACAAAGCATCATCCTTCCTGTTTCTGATTTCCTGCTGGTTGCTTTTTATGAGCTGCATTCCTTTCATGAAGCTGACATTATTCAGCTTTTTGTGTCATATAAATACAAGTGTGGATATGTCCTGAGATTCTCTGCTGAGCAGCATTCTACAACCTTTACTCCAAGCTCAGGAATTCATCTTAGCTCCATAAACCTGAGCTTTATAATTAGTGCACTCACAGTGTATTACCAGAAGCTAAGTGCAAGCAAAATCTTTTCTAAACTGCTTTCTATCTATAGGGAACAATAACAAGTACTTCAATTAACAATACTTAATGATTAAAATAATAAATTCTCACATGTGAACATGTTTAACATGATAAAATGAGGGGAAAATGCTAAGAATGATGAAACTGATGTAATTCCACAATAATACATTTATTTTAATCATACTTTGGCAAATAAGGAGACACAAAAATATATTTTTGATGGATAAATGCAGACTTCATCTTTAGTTGTTTTTTTTTTTTTAAAAAAGACTTACCCAGTACAGTGATAAAGTCACCCTTCCTAATGAAAGAAGAAACTGAAAGGATAGGGAAGATACAAAAGGAAACAAACACATTAGCCTGAAGTGATTGTTGCTCGAGTGCAATTTTATGATATTTCCCGACAGAGACAGAGAAGAAAGCTAAAATTGAACTAATTCACAATTAAGCTAAAAGCATATACAATAAAATCTATGACAAGGCAAATATTAATTTTGTGACTCACTAAATCCCAGGAAAGAAGAGGTAGAAAGAGAAAAAGTAGTTATTTTATGTCAAGAACCTCAGTTTAAAATATTAGGAGTGTCTATTTATAAGAGCTCATATAGAATTCAGAAGTCCATATGGGATTTTAATAATACATTGTAGTAATATTTTATTATAGCGCAAAAGATATCACTCCCTAATTTCACAGAATGGCTTGCAAAGTAACTCAACATTAGTTTCAGAAAATAAAAAAGTTTATTACTTCAGTTACTCATTAGAGACTAAGCTCCAAAGTTAGCGATAAAGATAATTGAATACAAAGGAAACACTAAACAGGACACAAGCCTCATGCTATTAATTTATATATATATATATATATATATGTATATATATATATATATACATATTTGTCAATTTTATTTTGGATGAGGAGAATATCTACACAAGTAGTGACTGTCATAAACTCCATTTTGATTTTGGAATAAAGTGGTATTTCTAAGGGAAATATTAAATTTTGTAGAGTACGAGATAATTTCTAATATACACCAACTCTTGAAATTAAGCTGACTAGACATACCAGTTTACAAGGTCTGTATCTGCTCCATTAAACACTTCAAAAGTATCTAAAGCATATCATGACTTCATATTCACACTTCCTCAAACAAGGCTTTAATATCCTTTCCATTTATCATGAACATCAGAAGAACATAAGGCATATGGAAGGGGAAAGATGAGAGAATGTAACTATTATTCAAGTTGATAAAAAGGAAAAAAGAATAGAAATAGAAATACATTTGTGTATTATTCATAAAATATAAACACTGAAAAATTTCCCTACAAGATGACAAAAGTTAAACCTTCTACAATTTGGCACTACAGAATGAACTCTGGTTATGCAAATACACCTAAAACGTTAAATAAATTGTAATTCTAGTTGACTAGTGACTTAACTTATTGAGATATCAAAAGGATATGGACATCTTTGTCACAAACTTGTCATGCAAGTCCTCAGGAGGGGGAAAGGTTTCCAAATCCTTTTCAAGCTGGTGAAGCTGCCTTCCCATCTGCTTCAAATTCTTTTCCAGCGTTTCTACAGAGACTAAAAGAAAGTATATTAAATGCCTTGAAAGGACAAAATTATAATATATAAAAGGTAAGACACTCTAGAAACAAAACATTTGTGAAAAATCCCATAATAATAATCCAAGAAAAGTCTAAAATTTTAATTTTAATGTGAGAAATTATAAAAAAGAAAAATGAATTTCACTAAATTTTTTTTAACTTTTCGATTTTTAAATCCAGTTATAAAGAAAATTCAATAAGAGACTAAACATAAAGATGAAATTTAAGAAATGCCCCCACACAAACCACATTTAAGAAATAAGTTTTTAAAAATTAAGAGTTCTTGACCACTATGTTACAAAATAATCAGTCTATTAAGACAGAGGCAAAGTTAAAGTATGTTTTTAAAATTAAACTTATTCAAACATAATTTTAATATTTTTCATAATCATTTTTTTTAAAGAGACAGGGTCTCACTTTGTCACCCAGGCTGGAGTGCAGTGGGGCTGGATTACAGCTCACTGCAACCTTGAACTCTTGTGCTCAAGTGATCTTCTTGCCTCAGCCTTAGTCCTGAGTAGCTGGGACTACAGGCTCATGCCTCCATGCCTGGCAAATTGTTTCTTTGTAGAGACAGGGTCTCACTGGGTTGCTCCAGCTTGAACTCCTGGCCTCAAGAAAACCTCCCACCTCTGCCTCCCGAAAGTGTTGGCAAAATCATCTTTTGAGAGGAAACAATAAGTAGATGGGAAAGATGAGGGAAAGTGCTCTCTGTTGTCCAAGCCAATCTATGACACCGGAAGAAAAAGTATCAGAGGCTGATTACAATAACAAATGTCAGGCTTTCTTTACTGACACACTGGGGGTACTCTGTATTTATTATATAATAATTAATATGTTTCCTTCTTTGACTCTATGTTGCTTTCAGTGCACAAGAGGAATAAGTGGTAAACCAGGGCACTGCAGAATTATCACAATGTACTGCCTGTCCAGCAGGATAGACGTGAGGAATTATTTCTAAGAATCTTTGCATAGTCAATTTTACATGAAACTAGAAAAAAGGCTTAACAATACAAAAAGAAGATACAGTGGCCTAAACCATCTTTTTGGATATTTGCTTTAGGTACAGATATATTTTGGTTAAAAAAAAATCTGTTACTTCTGATCAATGTGAACTATATCAAACGATATATAAAAATGAATATAATAATTCTAGGCAATCTGCCATTGTCAGGATTTGAATTAATCCTGAAAAATAGATTCAAGTTTCATCTATAAGGATGGTAATATCCTTGGAAGCAATCTAAATGCTCCCCAAAATGGGACAAATTATAGTTTTTAACTTTGGTTCAAAAGAAAAAAATAGTAAGCGGACATGAAAAATAATGTTGTATAAAAACACAGAATTTTTTTTTTTTACCTAGTTGTGCACAAAATAACATTTACCACTCTGACATTAACAGCTTTTAATAAAACCTGAAAGTATTACTAAAAAATTTTTTAGCAATCTAATTTTCAGACACAATGCTTAATGGGTCCAATGACAGAACTCTTCCAAGAACCACATAGTAGCTATTTGTGCCTGAAGAGTGATGATACTTTAACCTTTGACTCTCACTGTGGTGAAGCCATTTTGATGTTATATTCATACATATTTTCTCAGAAGCTTTTTACTTCTCATGTATTCCTTTTCTGTGATTCTTAAAACTGAGATAATAACTCAGATAATAGTGTTTATGAAATGTTTGCATCATGGTAGCATTTAGTATATTAATTCATTTCACTTGTGTCCCCAATATCTTGCTGTGCCCTGCTCATAGAGGTAACACATATATCCTATGTTATGCTCTTTCAATGTCTGCTTGTCAATTATCTACAACCAAGATGCCTGTTTGATTAGGCCTATGGTGTTTCATTTACTCTTCTCATTTCCAGTTTTTTTTTTTTTTTGGCTTCTTTTAAAGTTCTCTGTCTGCATTATAGATTCCTCTTGCTCTCCTAGTCTATTTGATCTCTTCTCTAATGTCTCATTAGCATTTGCTCTATCATTTTTCTAGAAATCTTACAGGTGGTTCAGTCACTTTTACACTTCCCAAAACTTTGAAACTTCAGATTAAATAAAGGATCTAAAACACACAAAATCCTTTCATTAAGTAAATACATGCTCACTGACATTTGTAACCCATACATCCACCTTGTGCTACAGGTTCGAAAAAGAACTTAGTGTGTCAGTGGTATAATGATAGTAGTAATTGTAATAGTAGTGATAACAAAAAATAATAGTAAAGATAGCATGTAAAATTTGCTGAATGTTTAACTATATCAAGTACTAGCTGAAGTATTTTCCATTAGTTAACTCATTTAACCCTCACAAGAACATCATGAAGTAGGTATTATTATTATTATCATCCTTGGTTTACAGTTGAGGAGACTGGATCTGAGTGGGTAAGTAAAAAAGTCAAACTAAAAAGCAGTGAAGTCAGAATTTGAACTTGGGCAGTTTTATTCCAGACTTTATTTTTAACCATTCTGATATACATAAATTATTAATTATATAAATTACCATTTTATTTTTATAGTCCCTAACTCCCTGTCAGTAACATTTAAATAAACAGATATAGTTTACACATAATGACTGGTTTCTTGTACATTCTTGCCTATTGGAATCACAGTGACTTAAAGCACTTAAGCACTTAAGTGAAAGCACTTAAGCATTCTAGATGGATGGATGAATGAACAGTCAGGTATATAGATGCTACTATCTTTTTTTAATGAACAGTTAAAGTGGTATCCCACAATGGAACAAAACTACGTATGTAAATACTGTCTTAGTTTGCTTAACCAATTTTATTATGCACACACATGAGATTTGTAAAAGATCTAGGGAACGGACAAATGTAAGTCTAAGGGACTCTCATAGACTAAAACCACAAGGCTAATGTTGGGAGGGCACATAGATTGTTTTTTTCTGACACCAAATACATTGTTCCAACATCAACTGGATGTCCTACAATTCAGTTCAATTCTGACATCAACTACCTGGACTTAATGCAGACTCCATAACTTAAGGATAAATTCTTCAATTCTGATACTAATTTCTCAGAGTTAGTGTCAGACTCTATAGGTATAAGGGCTCAGTCCTTCAAGACTGCTCTAATTTCAGATGCCAGCTGCAAGTCCAGGGGGCCACCCATACTTCTGACTCACTGGCTATATTAATAAATTTGGGGATTCCCACAATCCCCTCCCTTAAGTTCCATCATTTACTAGAATGACTCACAGAACTCAGGAAAGCACTATACTCACGATTATACTTTTATTATAGGGGATATAACTCAGTAACAGCCTAATGGAGATGTATATACAGGGCAAGGAATGAAGTAGTGCAGAGCTGTGGTGTCCTCTCTCAACACATCGTGTGCTCACTAATCCAGAAGCCCCATTATCCTCATTGTTTCAGAGTCTTTACTGAAGCTTTATTACAGAGGCCCAAATGATTAAATCACTGGCCATTCATGGTGGAGCTCAATCTCCAGCCTTTCTCCTTCCCCACAGGTCAGGGGGTAGGTTGATAGAACTGCCTAATAGACAGGGCTGTCCTCAGAGGAGGTCAGCCACTTGTAGAGCCATCCCACTAGTGACCACTTCTCAGTTAGGTGAAAAGGGGGCTTACTCCACCAGATTAAAGGTTTGAGCTTGTTCCAATTCTTTGGTTGCCAGTGGGTCAGGAACGACTTCCTCTGTGATCTGAAACAACTTCTCTTTAGGCTCAATTTCCACATCAGGAAAATGGGAAGAATCTCACCTCCAATTTTTTTATGTCACAGATATTTCATAAGAGATAATATGCTGTAACATGGGATGAAGAATTTTTTAAAAAAAGAGTATGTTATTCTTATTCTTAGAACTGAATAAGAAATGAAATGCTTAAAGACTGAAATAAGTGACATTAGAATTAAATGAAAAGTAAAGAAAGTCATCATCATATTCATCATTGTTGCCACCATTACCAGGCCAGGAAGAGTATTGTCAACCTAAGAAGTCAACCTAAGAAGAGTAGTTGCTATTTTCAAGAATAAAATATTAGGAACATTTTGGGTATATTCAAACACTTATGATCAATGTCACAGAGAGTAAGTAAGCTTTCTTTAAAAATGGTTCATGCTTCATCATGTCCCATTTATTTATTTTTGTTGCTGCTTTGATTGCCTTTGGGGATTTCTTCATAAACTCTTTGCCTAGGCCGATGTCTAGGAGAGTGTTTCCAACATTTTCCTCTAGAATTCTAATGGTTTCATACCTGAGATTTAAGTCTGTTATCCAGCGTGAGTTGATTTTTGTGAGAGGTGAAAGGTGTGGGTCCTGTTTTAACCTTCTACAAGTGGCTATCCAGTTTTCCCCAAAGCTTCTGCACAGCCAAAGAAACAGTCATGAAAGTAAACAGACAACCTACAGAATGGGAGAAAATTTTTGCATCCTATGTATCCGATAAAGGACTGATAACTAGAATATACTTAGAACTCACGAAAATCAGCAAGAAAAAATCAAATAACCCTATTAAAAAGTGGGCAAAGGACATGAACAGAAACTTTTCTAAAGAAGACAGAAGAATGGCCAACAAACATATGAAAAAATGCTCACCATCCCTAATCATCAGGGAAATGCAAATCAAAACTACAATGAGATATCACTTAACTCCAGTGAGAATGGCCTTTATCAAAAAGTCTCCAAATAACAAATGCTGGCGTGGTTGTGGAGAGAGAGGAACACTCCTACACTGCTGGTGGAACTGCAAACTAGTTCAACCTCTGTGGAAAGCAATATGGAGATACCTTAAAGCGATACAAGTGAATATACCATTTGATCCAGCAATCCCATTGCTGGGCATCTACCCAAATGATCCAGTGACACTCTTCAAAAAAGACACCTGCACTCGAATGTTTATAGCAGCACAATTCATAATCGCAAGGCTATGGAAACAGCCCAAGTGCCCATCAATCCAAGAATGGATTAATAAAATGTGGTATATGTATACCA